TCTGGAGAGAGAGGTTTTGGGCACATTCGTAGTAGCTAACGAGCAGTACTTCCTTATATGCAGAACACAAAATCCTCACATAAAAACCGGACCCAATTGCCAGCGTGGGGTTTCAAATAAACAAACTTACCCTGAAAATTACCTCTCCAGCATAGCCAAACCTACACCTCAGAGTCACAGGCTGTGACAGCGGTACAGAGGCTGCAGTGATCTGTGGCTCTTTGGGGAACGGCGGGGGACCAAAGCCTCCATGTTTTCTCTGTTGAGCCAGAGGGCTTCACTGGTCACCATGCACAAATCCCAGATCTGTGTCCTTTGAAAAAATCAGTGACAAAGAAGAGTCAGCACAATTCCCTCCCTGCAGTGCTGCCCGGGATTTTCAGAGACTGGCTTACACTCTTCAAGGGAGTCGAGAAGCAGGTTGCCCTCCCCATACCCAGCTGGTCAGCCCTAGCCCTTTTCTCAAGCTTTTCCTGTGTTCTGCACAACCTTTGCGACCTTCTTCATTTCAGGAGGCATTTTCCAAACCCCACCTGCCTCCCTACCTCCCAACCCGAGGGAAGTACCTACAGCCCATCTTACCCTAGTGTCCCCTCTGTAACAGAACTCCATCATGCGGCTGTTTCCGTGCCATTTACATGTCTCCCCCCCACCCCCCTGGCTGGAGTTCCATGAGAGCAAGGCCTGGGGTGCACTTGTGTCCACAACCCCAGTGCCCAACACAGTGCCACGCCCATAGCAGGCACTCAGTGAAGAGAACAGACCTAAAGAGCACTACAGCTCCCAGCCCCAGGACGACGCAGCTCCGCCTACGCCAGACCCACCTTGCTCGGGATAAGACCTCACTGTCTGCAGCCTTTCACAGAGCCGGCACCTCCCAAAATACTGGGACAAATGACCGCTTCAAAAGGCCGCAGAGACTAGCACTTGAGATCACGACTTCTAGAATCAGACAGCTAGGTTCCAATTCTGCCTCCACTAGTCCTCACAAGCTTTATGAAGAGGCAAGTTAGCCTCTAGATGCCTCAACTTCCTAATCTGTGAAGTGGGGATAATTATAATACAACATCATAGGGTTGTTGTAAAAAAAACAGAGTGAGTTAATCTCTGCAAAACACTTAGTGCCTTCGCTATGTAAGCATTAGGGACCTTCTTAGATATAATTTACATACAATATTGTACACATTTAGATATACAACATGGTGATTTGGCACATTATTATACTGCAATACGATTACCACTGTAGCTTTAGTTAACGTCGCTGTCAGGTCACATAACTGTCATTTCTCTATTGTGGTAAGAACACCTGAGATCTGGTGTCTTGGGAATTTTGAAGTATAGAATACAGCATTGTTGACCAAAATCACTATACCTAAAATGGTTTGGGTGGTACCCACACATAGCCTTAAATAACATTAAGTCAGGGAATGACTTTGTTCTCAATTCTCTTTCAAATTTTCTGTATCAAGGAAAAGGGTACAGTTTAATGCGAATACGACTTTAACACATCTCTCAAACTTGCTGTTCTCCCTCTAAACAGAGAGAAAGCTCAAATCTCGGGCAGGCAGAAAGATTTAGCTGAAATGAAGTGATTTTACCTTTGTTGTATTATTATTATTATTTAATGGCAATGGACACTGGTTTTCTATCCATGATAGAGGTATAAATTTTCCATGTAAAATGTCTATTGATATTAAACAGTGAGCAGATTCGGAGAAAAATATGAAGTAACAATATCAGTTGTAAACCTACTGTGGCAGAAATCATGAAGGTAAGATCCAAAAGCATCAAATGTGGGAGACACTGGTAGACACTCGGTGGGGGGCCTAGAGGCAGAAGTTCCACAAATGTGTGCTGCGGCCAGGGAGCACTTGGGCAGCTGACCAATGGCAGAGTCCTGCCCCGAGAAGAAGCCAAGACCTCCACACGCCCCCTGCAGCTGAACACAGCACAAGATGACAGCTGCCACGGGTGGAGGTCAGCACTGGGCAGAGCAGCTCAGGAAGCTCCATGGAAGAAAGCAGGCTACAGGAGGGAGAATGCACTGGCAGTCATTGGCATCTACCGTGAGGCCAGGATTCTTGGCGAGAGAAAAGCGGACTTTACTCATCTCCAATTGAGGATAGGGCAGATACCCGGTGTCCCACCAGGAACCCAGGGTCTCCTGCCTTCCCTGCCACCCACGCAGCTGAGGGCAAGGGCTGGGAGGAAGAAGTTTTGGGTGGAAAAGAAGCCCCCTTTCCAAGTGGTGTTGCAAAACAACTTGGTGGCATCTTGTAGCAAATGGGACACTCGGCTCAAGCTAGGATCCCATGGTTTTCTTTGCGTTTGGGGCACATCTATTTGTGATGTTCATTGGAGGGGGCCATCAGTAAATAGGTCTAGCTTGCTTTTGAAACCAGTTGTGTTCCCTCTGCCTGTGAGTCATCGGCCGGGCTCACCCACAGACACAGACAACCCTCTCACTGTCCTCCGGCCGGCTGACCACCAAAACCATGCTCTGGGTGTGCATGGGGAGGGGCGGGCAGAGGACTCACGCTGCCTCCACCCTCAACCAGCACGGGTAACAAGGCAGAGGCCAGTATTCCAGGAGCTCCTTGTCTCATTCTTTCTTGAGAGAGAGTTATATGAATAACTAGCTCTAAAACAGTACCCGCCACCACTTCTCAAGGGCCTGCTCCGTATTGGGCACACTATCCTCATCCTCACAAGAGACTCTCCATCTTACATGTGAGAGAACTCAGAGAGACAAGATGGCAAGCAGCCAGAAAGTGACACCGGCCGTTTTATGGACTCAGGTCTCTGTGCCTCAAAGCCCACACTCTTGCCTACCCACTGCCCCCGCTGCCCCGCAAGGAAATGAGTGCCATAAGGTTGCCTTCCAGAACCCTAGAAAAACACAGAGTTCATTTCATGAGGGCAATGAGGAAAGGCTCCCTGGAGAAGGTAGTATTTGGCCTGAGATCTTAAGGACAAGTAAGGCTTTTGTTGACAAAACAAAATAATCTAGACTACTTTTGTTTGTTTGTTCGTTCATTCATTCATTCATTTGTTCCATGCCATATTTCTGGGTCTATGGTAGGTACCAGGAATTCCATGGTGAACAGACATAGCTCCTACCCCCAAAGACCTCACCTACCGGTGGAGACCTAAAAAAAATAAATAAATAAAAAAAATAAAATGAATGAATAAAGCTATTACTAACTGTGTGTGCTGTATAGAGACATATAAGGAACAGAATGGAGAAACCAGAGAAACCTATTTTAAGACAGCCAGGTACAGTCTTTCTGAGGAGGTGACATTTTTGCTGGGCCTGAATGATGAAGTGAAGGTGCTATCCATGTAAAGTAATAGGACAGGGAGTGTTCCAGTCATAGGGAACAGTATGTGCAAAGGCCCTGAGGCTGAAAAGGGAACTGTGTGTTCCTGAAACTGAAAGATTAGAATGTCTTAAAGCAAGTGAGTCCAAGGAAAAGTATTCCTCAAGCGGAGAGTGGGGAGAGAGGCCAAGGTCAGATGGGATAGCATCTTACAGGCTGTGGAAAATGGTAGTGGGAAGCTCTGGCAGGGTCTTCAGCTCGGAAGTGATACAGCCCAATTTACTCTCCAAGATCAGACCTCAGTCCCTTCACCCGTAAAATGAGAGTAAATAAGAGAATGCATAAAAAGCTCTGAGTGCCTTGCCTGGTTGGCGAGTGGACAGAAGATGCTCTGAAACGTGAGCATGTATCAAAACAACCTGGGGTGTTTGCTAAACTCAAGATTGCTGGGCCCCACCGCCGGAGATTCTGATGCAATAGGTTGGGGGAGGCCCATGAAGATGCATTTCTAACAGTTCCCTGGTGATGAGGCTATTCCTGGTCCAGGGGACCCCACTTTGAGAACTCTTGGGTTAGAAAGAACAATAAAAAAGTGGGAGGTGCCACTCGGGTGCTGTGGTAATTGTCAAGAGCTGGTAGAATACAATGTTCTCAGCGAGGTGGAGAAAAGTGATCCCGAATAGTTAGTTCTCTTTTGGAGATACCATAGACAAGACTAGCTGATGGACCGGAGGTTGGGGAGGAGGGAAAAGGAGACATCAGGCAGGACACTCCTAGATCAACGGCTTGAGCACCTAGGCAATGACAGTGGCAGAAGCTGAATGGGGAACACCTGAGGAGGAGCAGATTTGGAGACAAGGGTTGAGGCATACTAACTCTGAGGCTTCTGCAACCCCGAAATGGCCATGTTAGGCGGGCCGGCGGGGCCTTCATGAGAACAGCCATCACCTCTATCTTATCTTCTGTTACATCCCCAGATCTCACCGTTGCATGTCCTGCCAGTAAGAAATATTCAGATAACTTTTGTTACGGGTTGAAGGATAAATGGAGACTGAGGAACAAGGAAAACCGAAGGCACTGAGGTACCAGCATGCTGCCATATTTGAGGAGGCCACAAGCAGTCACTCTGTTGAGGCTAAACCATCACTTCCTGACCTTGACATGTACAGTAAAGTGGGAGGTTGGAGGCAGAACAAAAGACAGAAGTGAGCCACCCAATTCACAGTAGGACTCTTCCTCCAAAAGTCAGAGATGTCAAATTTGAGCCTTTCTTGGGTGTGTTTTAAGATGGAAAGGTTTGAACTGTGAGCTTAATGAGCAGGAAGGCCAGAGGAAATCTGGCTAGCTTGGGTTTTTTATAAAATAAATCATGGGAAAAATCAAGCTGTGCAACGTGGGGAAATGAGGAGGGAAGGATGGGAAGACGGGGAGAGAAGAAACAGAGGACAGAACAGAAAAAGTGGCTTAACCAAGACGACCCACTAAGGGCAGAAGGGGCCAGCCTCCAGCACTTGACCTCCCACGCCAACCTCGACCCTTAGGTCCTCACCACATTTCCAGCAGGCCTGATGGACCCTCAGCCTCCCCACTCACCAAGTTGTAAATTAAAAGGCTGTAATTCCAGCCAGGGGTTCTGGTGACATCATAAACCACAGAACCACAAGCTCAACTCACCAGAAGCCCCAAGATGGAATTACACCCTTTCTTCCTAATCCAGGCAGCTCTGGCCACTGCCATTTTTTCATGATATAATCAAAGTAAGCAATATTTTAACCATTTGTTTGTGGCCTTTCTCACACAGCCATAGGGCCCCCTCTCTCCTGGCCTCTCCTCTCCCTCTCCCGCCCCTCTACAGATTCTCCTCCAGGGTCTCCTTCAGAGACGCTCCTGCTTTCCAAGGCTGCCCCTCCTCCAGGCCCACTTCTCTTCCTTCTCCCCTCTAGACCCCTTCTGTTCTTCTGTCTCCTCCTATGAACCAGTAATGTCCTGGCTTCTACCTTAAATCTGCTTTTCAAGAGAAGCCCAGGATCTTCTAGGTCCAGGACAATGTCCTGGAGAACAGACCCCAGATGTCTGAAATACATTCCCAAGAGTGGCATGAAAATGCACTCTCGTTTTAAATAAATCGGGAAAGTTTACAGCTTAAGGAGGGATCTTTCTGGAAGCAAGTGATTGCTTCCAACATCCTTTCACTGTGTCTTGCTTCTGAGTCCTAATTTTCATGAAGTATTGCTTAGCACAAAGTATACACGGGCATCACACTACCTTTTACTCCTGCTTCCCCCTCTTAAGTGTAATGTCGATATTTAAGTTCCTATGGAAATCTCACCTAGGGGAAGAAGCCACAAGGGAGGGCAATAATTAAATCAGCTCTCACTCAATGAGTACCTCTTATGTCTCAGATATTCATATTATTCATCATCCCTTGCACAGAAATACTATTTTCTTCATTTTATGGAGGAGGGAAACAGAGGTTCGGGACATGGAGTATTTTGCCCAAAGTCCCACAGCTACTAAGTAAGGCCCTTGGATTTGACCCCAATCTGTTGGACTCAAAAACCTACATATACATGCTCACTCAGTGTCTCCCTGCCCTGAGTAAAATATTTTGAGAATAAATGTTGCGTGGGATTCGAAAGGGACTTTAATGACTGATCTTCATGCAACATGATTTTTTTCAGAAGTGATGGAAGTTTTACACTATTTTAGGGTACAATAAGAGTCAAAAATGGACATTCTAATGTCCTATGTATTTTTTAAGTAAATTATTTCAAATTATTTCCCCCAAACCAAAACAAAAAAATCAGCAGTTTAACTCTACGTTGATGTAATTTGGTAGTAACAAGGTGGACCAGCGACTCTTTTTATAAAGTGTCATCTACAAAACACCAGTATAGCACATGGCAGCTTTCAAAAGACTTCATCTGCACAAGTCTGTCCGCCCAGGCTATGTGCGGCATGCAGTGTGAACCTGACCATGTCGAAGATGTTCCAAGGGGGGAGGGGGCAGGCTTCCTGCCTGGACATCTTGGAGATGGCCTCCAATGACAAGAGGCAGAATTGCTGCACAGAATCAATGCTTCAGGGGTCAAACAACTTCAGAACTTTCTAAAATATGATGATGTTACAGCTGAACCAGAGACTGCAGGTCACACACTTCATAAAAGAGTAAGAAACATATCTGACACTATTTCAGGATGCTACCTGCAAACATTTGGGAACACAGCAGTCTTGAGAAAATTCGGGTTAGAACAGAAAAAAGACAGGATCAGTTTTCTCTTCTTCAGAAAATGCATCTCTGCCTAATGAAGCACATGTTAGGATGGTTTAAGAAAGATATGTGATGCAATGACCTAATTTTTTTTTCCTCTACCATCAGGGACAGTAAATAACATCTTCCCAGAGAACACAAATGGAGAAATACTGTCAGCATATATTACACGAAGTTACAAAGTGGACGTGAATGCCACAACAAACAAGCAGGCATCTTGCTTCTTCTCCAACTTCAAAGTGAGACGACAGAATCTCCTAGTGATGAAGGACAATTTATTCATTCCCAGCAACAAACATTTAATTACCAAATTAATCCCATGTCATTGTACTGCATGATGGAAAATCAGCAGCAGCTTCTAAATGGAGAAAGACAATGGATTTGAAAACATCTTGGGGGTTTTCCTCGCAGACTGAATGTCCAGGATCCCACTGGCGGAGCTCACATACACAAACCTGCGGGCAAAGCCAGCCTCAGTCAATCCCAGAAAAAGCACCAAACCTTCCTGACTTGTGTTCAAGGGTTCCAGTGAGGATGTGGTTAAGAATATGGACTCTCGAGTCAGACTGCCTATGCCTAGCTCCAAGCTTGGCCACGGGATCTTGGGTGAGCTTTTAGCTATATATGCCTCAGTTTCCTTGCATCCTGTAAAATGAGAATTAGAGTGCCTTACTTCAGAGCCTTGTTGGGGGGATTAAATGAAATAAGACACACGAAGTGCTTAGAACAAGCGTGTAGTAAACACTCGGTAAGTGAGAGATATCATGAGCCTTTCTCCCTCCATCACTATGCTCATGTCAGCTAGAATTTTTACCAAAGATAGAAAATCTTAGCGCAAACTTAATTCACATAACTGAAAAGTCTAGGGGAGTCCTGGCCTCAGGTACAGAGACTCAATGGCTCTGGCAGGCCCTAGTCTCTTTCTCCATCTCTAATCTCTCCTTCCTCTGGTGTGGCTCCATTCTCAGATAAGCTCTCCCCTCATGGTGGCAGGATGGCTGCCACAACATCAGCCTATATCCTCTCAGGTTCCAGTCCAGCAGGAAAGAACACAGCCTATGTCTCAACAGATCCTGCACAAACTCAAGAATTCAATGTAATGGCACAAGCATGAATCACAGCTCTTCATTTCCCCGATTATTGACAAGGTTGAGCACATTTCCATACGTTTATTGGCACTGGTATCACTAAAGGGTGTTAGCTTCATCTTATTGAAAAACTTCGTGCTTATTGTGCACAAGATGAGGGAAGGGTATATTTTCTTTCAAGTAAACTGGTTTATTGCAGGGCTGTTCCCAGATCTGCCAAAGTTAGAGGGGCCTCCCCTCTGGACACAAAACCTTCACTCCTATGATCCGTCAGTCTCTTGAAGCATTCTGTTAAAACAGCAACTCTGATGTGATGTGGCCATGTGGCTCAACTCTGCCTGAAACCCGAAACCGTGGCAATGCCCAAGCCTCTCCATCTCGCGTACTCTTCACCCCCAAGTCCAGGCTGACACCCCCTTGGCTCCTCAGGCTGCTAGTTTCCTCCAAGCACTGGGGGGAAAATCTGGCTTTAGAGGCTCCCAGGGCCTTTTGGCCTTGTGTTAGATCAAGTCCTGCTCTTTTCTAAATACTTGATCAAAACTTGCTTCCTCACCTGCCCATATCTCCATCCCTCAACAAAAAAAAGTGCCAGAAGAAATGACCTGCCCGGTGCACATATATTTTCCGAACACCATGATTCAAGGGAGTTCATTATCTACTGCACATAGGGAACTGGAAGCCAAGAAATCTCCCCACTAACATGCTGGTGTCCTTGGCATTGCTCCAAAGCTATTTTTGGCCCAGGTTAAGTCCTGCTGTCTTTAAGGACTCAAGTCAAATGTCACCTGAGTCTCCAGAACTGGGGTTAGTCATTCATACCTCTCTATTCCCGGGCCATGTGACTTATGCCCAGAGGAGTGCTGAGCTGAGATTGTTGGTTTTCCCACTCACATCTTCTTACACTGCTTACCTGCTTACACTCAGTACAGCACCCAACACAGAGTTCTAGGTCAGTACATGTTGGCTAAATGAGCCCCCACTAGAATGACGGGATGAACATCTATGCCTGAGAACCCCATCATCTTCATGATCCTACTGCAGTGATTCCTGAAGTGTGGTGTACATCCTCATGACTCAAAGTAAGAAGCAAGGAAATAGGATTGGGCTTTCTTTCTCTCCTTCCTCTTTTATCAAATTCAATGTCACTGAATATGGTCAAAAATGATATAAGAATGCTAATATGGGGGCGCCTGAGTGGCTCAGTTGGTTAAGTGTCTGACTCTTGATTTTGGCTCAGGTCATAATAATCTCAGGGTTGTGAGATCGAGCCCCACATCGAGCTCTGTGTTCAAGAGGGAGTCTGCTTCTCTCCCTCTTCCTCTCCCTCTGCCCCTCCCCGCCCCCCACCACTTGTGCTCATGCTCTCTCTCTCCAAAAATAAATAAATAAAATCTAAAAAAAAAAGAATGCCAATATGGTGTTTATAGATTTAAGGAGGAAAATAAGCAATTTGACAAACACTTATCAATGTGTTTCCCACATGCAAAGTGCTGAAAGGAAAAGTGGGCATATGTATTAGTCAGGTTAGGCTAGGTTCTGCTGCAGTAACAAAGAATCCGTAAATCCCAGTGGCTTTTAACAAAAAGGTTTATTTCTTTCTCACGTTCCACATCCACTATGGGTGGCCAAGGGTACCCAGCCACTGTCTCGAATGTAGTTGGTCAGCATCCCAGAGGGCATTAAAACTCAGGGGGAGGGGGGGTCACATCCAGGCAGTTAAATGACACACATCACTTCCAATCAAAACTCATTTGCCAGAACTAGGCCCCACCCAACCATAAGAAGACCAGAAAGTGCAATCGTGCCATTTGTTAGAAGGTAGAGAACTAAAAACATTTGTGAGCAGCACTCATAATGCCCATAGTAGGTAAGTTCTGGGCCTTGGGCCTTGTCTTTAAAGGGGTGTGAATAACATGTAGAAGGGGAATAAAAAGAGCACCAATCATATGAAGGAGGAAAGAAAGGTGAGGGTGAGGGATGCTGGGGTGGGATGAACAGGCCTCAGGGTCCGGTGAGTGTGTGACTCAGTCTGCTGAATCTAGAGCTACCATTTGTTATGTGTGAGGTATGTACCTGCTAAGTTCTTGTATGAAGCGTTCAGACAGGTAGGTAGGGTGCTCAGGAGGTCAGCAACAGAAATCCACTCCAGCCAACAAGCAAAAATGGGGGACACTGGAAGACTCCAGGGGAGCTCCCAGAATGAGAGGAAGAGCAGATGAAGCAGGGCTCCCAGTGGAAATGAGAGGTCAGCTCCAGGGCTGTCGGTGGCAGGATCAAATCACAGCCTCTTCAGCTCCCACGCTTCCTGTCTTCTCGTCACACAGGTTTCAGGCAGGCTATGGTGCAACTGGGTTTGGGGTGCACCGTCAACAAGGGGAGGCCAGTGCGCTCTGAGTGGCAACCCCACTAAGACTGCATGCAGTAGGGATGTACCCCAGAGGGAAATCAAGATGTTGCTCCTAGAACAAGAGGTAGTGATTGGTGATGGCTCAGGCAAAACAGATGTTCAAACAGAACTTTAAGTCCAAATGGATCCTCACAAGCACGACATGGGCATCACCACTCCCTTTTCCACACAAGGAAGCTGAGCACCTGAGCCTCGGGGATGTCCCAATATCACTCAGCTGGTAAGTGCCAAACACCTAACTCAGTGGGACCCCAGGGCCCGTACCTTTACCATTGTGATCTGCTGTGTCATGCAGATCTGGTGGCCTTTCTGTTGCCCTTTTCCAAGATGCATGAAAATGAGAAGGAATCTGAATTGGCCACATTACTACTAGTCATGCAACCATCACATTCCTAGAACGCTTTCTAGTCTACCAAGTGTTCTCACACATATAGTCCTCCTTACACAGTATGAGGAAGGCAGACCTCTATCACCCCTCCCGCTTATTAGATGGAAATGATTGGCTGGCATCAGGTGAGGGTGGGCCCAGCATCTATAGGTCTCATTTTCCAGTTAGAGGTGTTGACCTGGCTGGGGCTTCCCTGGGAAGGGTGGGACTCAGTGTGCCGGTCTGCAGCGTGGGTTGGCAGGCCGTGGTCGGCTCTGGAGCAGGAGGGTAGAATGGTGCTTGAGATTGATCAGGCACATGAGATGCATGGGAACCCGGAGCCTCTAAAGAGAGAGCTTGGTCTCTCGGCCTCACCGGGGGCCTCTCAGGGGGAGTTTTCTGTTGCTGAGTGTGCACAGGTCTCACTTAAGGGTGTTAATGGAACTGCAGAAGTGTCACTGCAGGGAAGCTCAGCTTTCTGTGTCCCTGCCATGCCTGACTTAGGAGGTCACAAGCACACGTGCCATGCTATAAAATGGAAAGCTGAAAGCAAATCTTCCTAGCATTGGGGATGTCTACAGAAGGAAGTTAAAAATAAAAGGATGGAGGGGTGCCTGGGTGGCTCAGTCAGTTAAGTGTCCGACTTCAGCTCAGGTTGTGATCTCAAGGTCCTGGAATCGAGCCCCACACTGGGCTCCCCACTCAATGGGGAGTCTGCTTCTCCCTCTGACCCTCCCCCAGCTCATGTGCTCTTTCTCTTTCTCTCTCAAATAATCTTTTTTTAAAAAAAATAAATAATAAAATAAAAGAATGTTGGAGCTTTGGGTACTGGAGCCTCCCTGTCACTTGCCCTCAGCTTCCTGCCTAGATGTGACCAGCCACTCCTGCTTCTCCAAAGCTTGGTGGGAGTACAATGTGGTGGTTGGGTCTGACCATGTGTCTCTGGTACCCCACTGTCTGGATTCAAATCCCAGCACTGCTGCTTGCTGCTCTGTGATTCTGGGTGAGTTATTCATTTCTCTGAGCCCATTTCCCTATTGGTTAAACATACCCACTCTGTGGGCAGGAAGATAAAGTAAGCTAATCCACAGAAAGCACCTAGAACAGCACACAGAAAACATCCAAAGACATTCAATAAATGGTAAATCAGAGAAAATGAGTGACTTGTCCAAAGGTACCTAGCTAGGGAGTGGGGGAGTCAGGATCCAGACTCAAATCAAAGTCTGGATTCTGAATGATTCTTCCCACCAAGCCATGCTGCTTCTCAGAGAGGTAAAAAGGGATAAATTAGTGTCTCACTTCACTTCCCACTGAAGCTCTCTGAGGATCTGTTATCATCCCATCTTCAATGGACTTCTTACCTCGGTGAGGAGAAAGCATAATCCTTAGTCTGGATCTTTTTGTTAAATTCACCTAGACTTGTAGTTGTCAGCCCTGCCCTGACCCCTTAAAGGAAACTCTTTAGGCTTGGAACAATGTGGACAATAGTGTTTTTGTACAGCAACTGCCCACTTACATAGAGGAGAAAATTTTTCCGTGGAGAGTCCTCTAGCTCGACCCTGAGGCAAACTGATTTCAACAGTTCAGAAGACACACTATCTCTTGTAACAGGGAGTCAAGAGACAGGGTGGCCTTCGGGTGTGGTATGATCAGGGCTCTATCTAAACTTCTCTGTGGGTCTCTGGACTTAACTCTCCTCCACATGTTGACTGCACCTCGTGCTGGCTTCCTCCATGGCAGCCTGCAGCAAATGAACCTGTTACATAGCAGGGAAGAGAGAGAGGATGCCTTACCTCGCTCCAGCTTTGGCTACATACCCATCCTGACCCAATAACTGTTGCTAGGGCAATGCCAC